TGGCAGAGATTCAGGGCACAGTATAGGGAAGCATTCTGTGCCAGCCTCACCCTTCTTCCCCTCCTAGATGACTGGAAATGCAGCACTAGGCATTTCTGCCGCTATCAGGCCCAGGGGACCTGCACAGGGCTAGGTGAGAAGCCAATACCTGCAGTTTGGGAAATTAGTAGCATTTATGGGTTTCCCAAGAGACAGCCTGGTTTCTCAGCCATCCCACTGGGATGTTGCTGGTACTTAGCATTTGCCAATGTACAGGGTACTCTTAAGTTGTCACAATGACTGGTGACATCCTCCAGGCATTTACTGGTGGGGTCCAGAGAGACTAACCATCTTGTTGTGAGTTGGACAGTTAGTCACACACTGCAAGGAATAATTCTGCCCATGAGAGACATTCGGAAATGCCGTATGCTTCCCATGTCTCCTTGGAAAGCTATCTTCTTCACCAATGCAAAGATTGGCTAAATGAGCGTGCTCCCATCACTGCATGCAACCAATGAGAAGACCAGATTTCTAGAATAACACACGACTGTTTGAGAGGAGCACCTGGTCTTACACCCACTTTCTCCAGTTCTTTATCGATTGTGTGTTAGCTATCTAGGGCTGCTGTAACAGAAATTCCACGAGTGGAGGACTATAACAAACCCACATTTTTCTCTCAACAGTTCAGGAGGTAACAAGTCCAAATTCAGAGCCCAGGCTCTAGGGGAAGGCTTTCTTTCTATCAGCTCTGGGGCAAATTCTTTGTGTCATTTTGATATCTGCAGCTCCAGTATTCCTTGTAGATTTCCTTGTGTCTTGGTGTTAATTTCCATGCATCTTGGGAGCTTCATAGTACAGGGACCCCAAATCTAAAGGACATGCTACTTCTGGCCCTTTTTTCTTAGTGGTAATTGTGTCCATTACAGTGAAATGTGGAAATCATCCAACAATATCATTAATATCACAAACAAGTAAAATTTTGCTGAAGATAATTTTTAAATGGATGTAATAGGACATTGACTGGAAGCAGCCAGAAATTCAAGTAGGATTCAGAGGAGAATGTGGAACTAGGGATAACATTGCTGATATCAGATAGATCTTGGCTGAAAGCAGAGCATACCAGAAAGATATTTACTGTTCTTTACTGCAAAGACTTTCAACTCTGTGGATCATGACAAACTATGGTGAGCATTGCTAAGAATGAGTATTCAAGAACACTTAATTGTGCTGCTAAGGAACCTTTACATAGATGAAGTGGTGCTTGTTAGGGCAGAACAAGGTGATACTGAATGGTTTAAAATCAGGAAAATCATGTGCCAAGATTCACCATATTTATTCAATCTGTATGAGGAGCAAGTGATCCAAGGAACTGGATTATATAAAAAAGGATGTGGTATCAGGATTGGAGGAAGACTCATTAACAAAAACTTTGATATGCAATGATACTTCAATATCGTTGGCTCTTGATCATATGCTACCTCTTGAAATGGTTCAGTACTGACCATTTCTTTTTGGTACAGTGACTCTGTGTATTCCTTCCATCTTCTTTTGATGCTTTCTGCAAAATATTGAACAATGCTCATGGGAGCAGCAGGCAAGAAATCAAATGACATATTGCAATAGACAAATCTGCTACACAAGACCTCTTTAAAGTATCCAAGAGCAGAGATACTAGTTTAAGGACTAAGGTGCACCTGACTGAAGCCATGGCATTTTCAATAGCCTCATATATATATATATGTTAGTGAATAAGGAAGACCATAGAAGAACAGATGCGTTTGAGCTATGGTGTTGGCAAAGAGTATTGAAAATACCATGGACTGCCAGACGAACAAACAAATCAGTGTTGGAAGAAGTACAGCCAGAATGCTCCTTAAAAGGCAGGAGGATGAGACTTCGTCGCTCACACTTGGGACATGTTATCAGGAGGGATCAATTCTTGAAGAAGGACATCATGTTTGGTAAAGTGAAAGGTCGGTGAAAAAGAGGAAGACCCTTAATGAGAAGGGTTGCTGCAGTGGCAGCAACAGTGGTCTCAAACATAACACTTGTGAGGATGGTGTAGGACTGGGCAGTGTTTCCTTCTATTGTGCATAGGGTTACTGATTCAGAACAACTCAGTGGTACCTAACCACAACAATTAAATGTTGGCTGTTGCTGTTAGGTGACATTGAGTCAGTTACAACTTATAATGACCCTAGATAGGGTTTCCAAGGAGCAGTTGGTGGGTGTGAACAACCAACCTTGTGGTTAGCAGTCCAGTGCTTATACTATAGCACCATACCAGGATTCCTTGGTGGCATTAGGCGCCTCTTTCTCTGCTCATTTATCTTTTCTTTTCTTTTTCTAAGATGAAGGATGTTGCAGTCCACATCCCTGAGAAAATTTGCCTTTAAATTACTGGCTTATAGCAGATCCCATCACGGTGGTAATTGCATTATATATTAGATATCTCATCATGGGGCATTGCTGTATTTTAGCTGCTAAAACACTGAGATTCATGGTCCCATCAAGTCAACACAAAACCCAAACCGTCACAGTCCACTCCTTGGTCAACTTGGTACTTGTCCACATCTCCTTAAACCATATACATAATCTCTAAATAAAGACAATTGTAGATCCATACTTGCACCTAACATGATACAACTAAGACACATAAAACAAAAAAGGTACTGATTCCATTGTATTACTCCTAAATTCTTCAAGTCCAATTGCAACATGAATCAGAATTCCTCTTCATCTAGAATACAAGTTATCTTCTTCCAAATACAATGGTATATAACAAGCAAAGGGTAGATTGTTTCCATTGGAAATGAGAGCAATTGGATGGAAATTTCTTTAATTTGTAATGAAGAACTGATGCATTTGATTTAATTTGTAGTGAAGAACTGATGCATTTGAGTTATGGTAATAGAGAAGAACATTAAAAATATCATGAGATGCCAGAAGAACAAACAAATTTGTATTGGAAGAAGTACAGCCAGTTGCTCCTTAGAAGCCAGGATGACCATACTTCATCTTCATACTTTGGATATGTAAGCAAGAGGGACCAGTCCCTGGAGAAGGACATCATGCTTGACAAAGTAGAGGTTGTCAGCAAAAAATAAAAAGAGGCAGACCTCCAACAAGATGGACTGGTACAGCAGTAATAGGCTCAAATGTTACAGTTGTGAGGATGGCATAGGACAAGGCAGTGTTTCATTCTCTTGTGCACAGGGTTCCTATGAGTTAGAGCTCACTCAACGGCACCTAACAATAACAAAAACAAAAACAAAAAGGAGTAGCAGGAACCTAGCAAATTAAAAATCTAGCAGAAAAACTCACATTAATTCTTGAGACTTGAAAATAATACTGTTTTTTAAGACCATCTAGGTCACGGCCCTGTCTTCCAGGCTGACTGTTTGCTATGCACTCTGGATTCTAGATAGAGGTTCTTCAACTCTGGGCTTCGGTTCTGCATTTCAGGCCTGCTGGAATGACAACTCTACTCCGTTTGTTTTGACCAGCCCCATTCTCCTAGTCTTTCTTAGTGGACTAACCCCATTGCCCCTGGTAGGCTCTGCTCTTCTGCTCCCCTTAGGCATGACAGCCCTACTCGCTCAGCTCTGGATAGAGGCCCCATCTTAATAGCAGCCCCACTCTCCTGAACCAAGTTAGTGATGCAGCCAACTCTGTGAAACGTAGGACACTGTGGTCCCACCCTTAAAAACCTCACAGGTCATAGTTCCTGCCTTTGAGAGCCCAAAAGTCATGGCCCTACCTTTTGAGACCTAGTCTGTTGTTTCCCATTCTCTTGGTCTCTTTTGGTTCTGCTTCTTGGTTCCTTGATATTCAGAAGAGGTCAGTCTTGTGTCTGTTCAGCTTGAACAAGTGTTATAAAGCTCTTTAGCTCTACTGATAACTGCCAAGAGGCATTCCACTCCACCAGGAACCCTTGGCCAGAAGGTGCTCAGCTCTTTCACTCTGTGGATTGATTCCTGTGCCATCTTGTGTAAGTTTCCTGATTTTGTTGCTGCAATTTCTCTGCTGCTGCTTCTCACCATCTGTGCTGTCTCTGGTGTAAAGCTCTCCTCATTGCCTTCTGAGCCCTCATCAGATTTGCCTTTGACATCCTTAACTCCACCAACAGTCTCTTCCAGCCTTCACTCATATTATGCAATTCTAAAGCAGCAGCTCACTCTCCTGATATCAGATTCTGTCTTAGTTATCTAATGCTGCTCTAACAGAAGCTGAAAAGAGATAAAGACCTTTCCTGAGAGCACACAAAGACAAAAGGCCTTCCCTAACATCAGAACTCTGAATTTAGGGTTCTAGTCTCCGGTGCTGTGGTATTGTTATAGCAGCACTATGTGACTAAAGACAGCCAGCTTTTCACCACTCCCGCTCTTCTGGGTCAAGACCACTTGAATTTGGGTGGGGAGAGTCTCTGGGGCATTAGGAAGCTACCTTCTTCGTGGTATCCCCAGTAGTCAGTCTAGCAGCCACTTGGTGTAGAGAGTACTGGGCCTGCCTTTCACTTCTCCTCTGTTTCTACTGCTCGTCATTCCTCTATGCTTTGTGTTTTCTTTCACATGTGATCTGTTTTCTTTAAAATGTGTTCAGAAGGGCTCAACTCTGGATTGTGCAAACAGTTAGTGTGCTTGGCTAACTAGAAGTTTGGTGGTTTGAGTCTCTCCAGAGGTTCCTTGGAAGAAAGGCCTGGTGATCTGCTTCTGAAAAATCAGTCTTTGAAAAGCCTACCGAGCTAGAGTTTTGATTCTTTTGGTCAATAGACCTTTCTTCCAAGGTGCCTCTGGGGGACTTGAATTGTCATCCTTTTAGTTGGCAGCTGAGCGTGTTAACCATGGTAACACTCAGAGATACCTTGTTTAGGGAAAGCCTATAATAAAACAGTATTAAGCTTTAAAAATAAGATAACCCTATGGAGCCCAGGTCTTGGGTCACCATGGTTCAGCATCAGCTTCATGACAACTAGTTAGGTCTGGATTGCCATGCTGAACACCTCTCTTCTTGTTTTGCAGTCGGGAAGACGTCTCTGATCACAAGGTTCATGTACGACAGCTTCGACAACACATACCAGGTAAGGTTCTGGGCCCTGTCCTCCAGCCTTCTAGTGTCCACAGCCATGAAAGCTGCTTGGCAAGCATGGCCCAGCCTCTCTCCAGAACAGGATGAGAACTGGGATACTGGGATACCAGGCTGTCTATTTTGCCTCAGAGTCATCTCCCATCTGTGTGCTGGCCCCAACCCAGTAAAGATCTCAAGCTTTTCTGATAATCCAAACCTTGATTGATCAAGGAAGCATTTTCTAGAGGGAAATTCTGAAAAAGAGACTACAGATTGCTTTCTATGTGCTCCTTGCTCTTTATGGGCAGTCTATGACCATTATATCTTTGCTTACTTCAGGGGTTGTCAGGGAGTTGATGGACAAGGTGAAAAATGAGAGGTTAAAGGTAAAGCTTTAGGAGAACTTGCATCTTGAGTGTGGCTGTGCCCTACCTTCCCGGGGGGAGGCTTACCTGGTGTCTTACACGGCTCCACAAAGGCAGGAGGCTGGATGAAGTGAACTCTTTGGCTCATGGCTTTTGAAGGGTGGTCTGGGAACAACCAGAGCCCAGAGCTGTAGTCCAGGTGGTACAAAGGTGAGTTGTAGGTCAGTAACGTTCACTTTCCTGGCAACACTGGTGAGTGGGAAGATTAGTGCAAGTGAATTTTTCCTGCAACTTAAGGCATTTCTCAAAAAGTACCAAACTTAATCATTTCATGATTACTGAAATACTTTCTTAAGGTAGAAAAAATGATTGTTTTTTCCTATGCCCGTGGATTTTGTAAGATACTAGTTCAAAAGGCTATTAGTAAGTGTTCCTTGAAAAAAACAAAATAGGATGAGAGTGCTTCAGTGCTTGCAGAGACTAAAGGGGACATTGAGTGAGCAAAAGTGCAAATGACTTCATTACTGTAGGACTTCTCAGACCCTTTACTATGTCCATGTGCGGTTTTTGGTTCACTGAAAGAAGATGTAGTGTGCAGGATCTCCCAGATGTGTTTGATCATGGAATCATTCTGTCATCGAGTTCTCAAAGGACAAATATTTATAGAATCCTCTGGGGACTGCTGCTCTGAGATGTCCCTGCCCCCTCTTGAACTGAGTCATAGAGGATGTGGAACAGAGTTAATGGTAACTCACAGTTCTGTGCCTCCTTTTGAATCTGGTTGTTTCCTCTGAGCTATCCAGTGTTCTTGCCTCCAGTAGAGTCCTGCTCTCTGCATCCCTCTAGTTTCTGGCCTTGACTCTGCTGTGGCCTGAACACCAGATAACCACCAGCCCCTGGTAATAACTGACTGTAAGAAGATCACAAGGCTCTGAGTGATGTGCACAGCCCTAGGGCATGGGCTCTGGAACGTGTGTTTGGGCCTCACTTGGCCTCTGTTCTGTCCTCTCTAGACCAGGGTTTTGTGCTACCCAGGGCTTGCCAGAGCCTTTCCTTCTGATAAGAGAGTTGTGATGCATCAGTTTGGATTAGAGATGGCAATTCTAACAGACCTCAGTTCTAAAGTCGGACATGTTATTCATTTATGTGTGTGTGTTGTTATTGCTGTTAGGTGCCGTGTCAGTTCTGACTCATAGTAACCCTGTGCACAAAAGAACGAAACACTGTCCGATCCTGCGCCATCCTCATAATTGTTATGTTCGAGTCCACTTTTGCTGCCACTGTGTGTGTGTGTATAAATGGTCTCAAATATTTCTTTTTGATTATTTTATATTTTATTTATTTATTTGATTAGTAAATTATAATGTCTTCTGGGAGTCGCCAGGCAGCACAGATGGTTAAGCACTTGACTAGTAGCTGAAAGGTTGGTGGTTCCAACCAAGCCCCGTGCTCCTTGGAAGACAGGCCTGATAATGTGTTTTGGAAAGGCCACAGCCTTGAAATCCCACTCTGCACATATGGGATCACCATGAGTTGGAATCAGCTCGATGACAACTAACAACAATAATGCTTCCTGTTGGTGTCCCATGAAAAATAGTGCCACTTCTGGCTGGTTGATGTTCTAGGCAGTGGTAGGCAACAAAGGTGACGGCAGGACCTTTCCACCAGTCTACATTGGTATGGGTCTAAGCCTAAACTCCTCCACATGCCATTTGAGTCCTTCACAATATCACTCCACCTCGAAGTTCGATGGCCCAGCAGGCCTCCCTACTCACCATTCCCCACATGGGCATACAGTCATGGCTCCACACATTGGCCATGCTATACCTGCTGCTGGAATGCCCTTCCTGATTGCCTTTCTGACTCATCAAAGTTCAGAGCAAGTATCTGCTCTGACAAATATATCCATGAAGACAGTAGCACATAAAAGGGGCAATGCTATGAAAACTTCTGAGATATGACAAAACTGCTTGAGGAAATGAGTTGCTAGGCCTGAGGGCTCAGGACCATAGTCTTGGGGGACATCAAGATCAGTTAGCATTACATGGTCTGCAAAGATAAAAGTTCTACATCTTTGTTTGGTGAGTAGATCTTAAAAAGCTTGTCTTTTAAGTTGCACCCTAGACAGTCTTAAGGTACAACTGTTGGTCTCTCCCTGTCTAGAGCAAAGAAGAGTTAAGAAAATCAAACATGCTTGGGAAAAAAAATTATGGACCATGTGAGCTTCATCCTCTATCAACCTGAGATCAGTAGAACTAGGTGTCACTCAGCTGCCATTATCAAATGCTCTGAATGGGGTCACATTAGAAGGTCCTGGATAGAATTGGAGAAAAATGTGGAACAAACCTTAAAATCATAAAAAAAAAAACACAACAACCACACAACCAGGCTTACTGGTTAGATAGTGACTGGTGAAACACCTGAGACTGACCCTTTGTCGCCCTTCAAGCCTGGAAATGAACTCACCCTTGTGACTCTACTTTTGGCTAAACAATACTAGAGCTACAAGGTAAACAATAGCAGTAGGGAGGCATACACCAGCTAGAACAACCAACCATACAAGATCAAAACGGTAACATTTACCCAGGGATAAAGCTCAGAAGATGGGTAGTAATAGAAAAGAAGGACAAAGAGAAATGGTAATCACAGGTAGGAAGTGGGAAGAGTGTTTTAACATTGTTGTTGTTAGGTACCGTTGAATCAGTTCTCACTCGTAAGGACCCCATGCCCAACGGAACAAAACAGTGTCTGGTCATTGTGTCAGTCCGTCTTGTTGGGGATCTTCCTCTTTTTTGCTGACCCTAAATTTTACCAAGCATAATGTCCTTCTCATGACTGGACCCTCCTGATGACATGTTTGGAGTGTGAGAGACGAAGTCTTGCCATCCTGGCTTCTAAGGAGCATTCTGGCTGTACATCTCCCAACACAGATTTGTTTTTCCTTCTGGAAGTCCATGGTACTTTTTTTTTCTTTAACTTTTTATTATAAAGTGAGTGACTGTTTAACAGACAAGATCATCAGCTTTACATTCAACAAGTCATACACTTTGTTTCATCTTAATGACTACAATTCCCTCCCTCTCTTCAACAACAGTTATCCTACTTCCTCCTTATGGCTTCCCCTTACATCTTATAGTTCACAAAACAGAAATATTTGATGTACACATACAAAACAAAAAAATATATTCATGTAAATGTCCTAAGGGCATAGTCTGCACACCAGTCTCCTGCCCGCAGGCACACACCCTTACTCAGTCCATGGGTCTAGAACCTGCAGTTACTCTAGCTCCCCAAGCCATCCCCTCTGCCACCATCTCTGCTGTCACTGTTTTTCTACAGAGGATCTCATGCTCCACTCATGCTCTTCCTTTTGATGATCCTGGGATCATCTTTTCCTGAAATGAAAGAATAACTACTCCCTTCCCGCCTGCCCCTTTTTAGTTACACATCTTCTACAGTTACAGTTGTGATGATTACAATTAATCCTGCTAACAATTACTCACAATTAAATCATAAAATCCTATCACCATCATCCCCCATCCCTCTTCACTAGATCCATCTGGGAAAGAGGACAACTGTTCATTGGGGATTCTAACTTATCTGGTTGTTCTGAAACTAAGCACACTCACGAAAACTTGTAAGCCATCCACTTTATGCCTTTATAGTGCCACATTTTTGATAGCCAATGTCTAGATTGTCTAGATCAACTTAGTGCACTGAGGAAACAAGCTTGTTACTTGATATGAAGAATCCTTCCATTCCAGTTGGAATTTGAGCAACTGCATCCTTAAGGAAAGGTCCAGTTCATCAAACTGTAGCAATTTACACTTGCTCACAGTTTTGAGCATCTTTATCTTCACCTGGCTGAGTTCTGGTCAACTGGCCATCCAAGCTAGGGCAAATGGGCACTAGCTGCAAGTTTGGGAGTTCATTCTCGTCTCCCTGCGCTTCAGACCAGCTGTGCGCTTCACTCTCAATTCTAGTCCCCAGTGGCTAGGACAGTCCTTATGAGCTCAGGAGCTCACGCTTCTCCCTAAACTTCAGACCAGCCTCTTCTCTCTTTCATCTCAAGGTCAGTGGGTGTAAGTGGAACATGGCCAGACTTGGCCCATATCTTCATTAATGCATTTCCCTCACCTCTACTCACAAGCAGACCCATGTGGTCTCCAGCAAGTATACTAGACTGTTCACAGGTTCCCTCTGAGTTTCAGTCTTAGAAAGAGGTTTTCTCTGATGAACTGACTTTTCTTGTCTTGATACCTCCAAAGCAAACAGCTTTCTTGATATTCTAACAGCCAAACAGTCTTTTTTTTTTTTCCTGCAGGTCTTTCTTTCAGTAAGATTCTTCTGTTCTCCCAGCGTTTCTGGATTGGCCTGCATTTCCTTTCAAATGAGAATGTGCCCAAAATTCTGAGTGGGGCTCAGGATTCCATTTAAGGTCCCATATGCTATAAATATTAAGGAGCTCTGGTAGCGTAGTGGTTACGAATTGGGCTGTGAACCGCAAGGTCAGCAGTTTGAAACTACCCGCTGTTCCTCAGCAGAAAGATGAGGCTTTCTGCTCCCGTAAAGATTTACAGTTTCGGAAACCCTGTACAGGGTCGCTATGAGTCGGAACCGACTCCACGGCACATAACAACAATGCTAT